TCAATCCCTCTTCTGGGTCCAACGCCACTGCACTGCAGGCCGCAATGGTCAACAGCCAGCCGCGGTGATATGCAGTAATACGCAACAATCAACAGCAGACAGCGGGTGCAGCAGCTTGTCCGCAGTTTAGCTGCAGCTCGTCCACAGTCAACAAAAATGGCACCCGTTCTCAGTCGATAGCCAGTAGCGTCTGTCTACAACATCCAGTCGTAGTATGCCACGGTCAGCGGCCAGTTGCAGCAGCCAGTCCCTACTCACACTGATCACTTTTAACCAACAGTGACTTGTAGCACACACTCATGCAAAAGGTACAACCCACCGGCCCCGTAGTCTGCCTGCGCCGAACCGACTGATTGCCACTATAACCAGACACCTATTTTCCTCCCCACGATTCCCTCTTCACCCTCTCTTTAACGCAGGCTGCTCCCGAAGCCCCCCCGCGCAGACCTGCATTCCCTACTCGTACAGGCTCGGCCCGCTACATCAGCCCACTTGCTGGCTTTGCTGCGAACTATTCACCCTGCATTCTATCTGTTCTTTGACTGCTGGCCTCACGCCACTACCGTCAGTCAGAGGGGTAGCCCACTAGTTAACAGCTAACTTAGCCGTTCCGCACCTCATCCGCCAGTACTCCAACCCGCGAGGTGAGTGGTATGTGTTTGCCAACGGATTCTCGGTCCGCTGCCCACTCCCTCGCTACTCAGGTGAAATGCCCCACTCCTCGCTGCATACTCTTGGCACGTCTGCGCAGCACGTTTGCCCCCACTCATTCGCTTCCCTTCTCTTCAACTCCTAGCTTTCATTCGCCCGCCTCGTCGTTCGTCCTGTAACCTCGCTACCGCATCTTTGTAACGGCCTGCCTCCGGTACAACCAGGTTCACTCAAGGTCATGGGGGGGGGGAGAACACCGCGACAGGCACATACTTCGGAGGGAGGACTCGGACGGCCCACAGGTAAGTCGCTACAGTGTGTAAAGAGAGAGAAAAAGAAAGGGGAAAAAAAATGAATCTTGCACTAAATTGAGGAAGGATTCATCGTTGTTTAAATCTTCCCCTAGACTGACTCTAACCCCAATCTGACTTTGGATTCGGGGTCGCCCACCCCGAAAACCCCTGTCGACTGTTTTCCCCTGCCCGAATCCGTTCATCAACGAGCGAGAACCCGTTTCCCTCCTGTCGTCTTCGCCTCCTCCATAGCCCGGCGCGGTCCGGTTTCATGCTAGCCTCTTTTCTACTAACTCTCCCCTTGAACTAACCATGTCATCGAACTCGCCCCATCAAAAAAACCCCTACCTCAACACTTGGTCCTCCCGATTTTGTCACGGATCRGGTAGGAATCCGCTTCTTCTTCCCCCACTGTCACTCCTCCCGCCACGGTTCGTCGCACCCCCTTTCCCTACTAACACCTATCCTACTGAGTATCTTCTAGAACTAACCCTTCCATTCACTTCGCCCGGGGCAAGAACCCCGAGATCACTCCTTTCCCCTCGCGTTCCCATCCAAGATCGAGAGTATGGGGCGTTCTCCACTGCGCCCGCCTCCTGCCCCCGCCATCTCCTTTCTCGTAGTGAATGCACCTGGYGCGCTATCCGGCMAGGTTCACCCCCTTCCTTCGCCCTTCGTTGYTGCRTCCCGCTTCCCGTCTTCTCGCTCCGCCTCCYCTYCCTACGCCAGGCGCTCGKCWCCARCTGCCTCCCCGACCAGCGYTGTTCTCCCAYAGCGGCCGGCTRTACAGCGCCCGACCCTTTCTCTCCGCCACCTCTTCGAATGCACCCGGACGACCGCGCCGTCCAAGTTCACCCTCTTCTTCATGGCTGATACTGCGCCCGGTAGCAGCCGATTTCTCTAGAAAACGCCACCGCCGACCGGACGCCGCCGACAGCAAAACCGAGGGGGATAGCCCCGCTAGGCCCTCAACCCCTTGGTCCATTCGTGCCACTCTGATCCCCATGTCGTTGCTTGCTCGACCTTGATCCCTGAACCTCCCTAGTAACAGTCCGCTGTCGTAACCTATAGGGCTATGCCCAAGCCTGGTACCATGGAGCGCGAACTTCCATATGAAGTGGTGCCGCGCCGTGGCTAGGCTTGGAAACAACATCCTAGGCCTTCCTTTCCTACCCACGGTCGGCATGCGAACACCAGGCACCCGCGCCGACCTACTTGGACCCCGCCGTGGCCGCCCCGTGCGCCTACCGGCGTGCCAGTCCTACCGTCGGTCGCGCGCGCTAACAAAAAATCACACGGTCCAGGTCGGTCGACTAGACCGGCCGCTCACTCAATCAGAAAAATCACACGCGCGTCTTAAAACTGCGTGCCCACATACCCCTAACTTAGTCGGGATGGATCCCGGACGCGGTTGTGCCCCGCACGACTTATTTCAACCAAACCCATTTTCCTGTCATTTGCAAAAACCAGGGCGGATACCCTTGTAAGGGTATTCGCGCCGATAGCCTACAATACTATATTAAGCGACGTCCCCGTYGCTATGCCAAATCATAAAGCTACAAACTCATTCACATTCCAAATGYTGACGAGAGCTGAACCAATTCCGATTAGCCGACAGACTCAGGGTTGAGGCCTCCAACACTCCACGCCGACATAACTATATGCTGCCAGGGTTTCAACCTGGGTTTCCGTTGTCCTGACACTAGGACGCMGGCGTATTAYGCATCAATACTACAGCATAAGTTCSAAGGGCCACCTCAAACCGTCCTCTCCCCTTCGTCCTAGACAAACRTTGGCTTTTCGTTGGGTGTCCCAGTTAGACTCTCTCTCGTAAGCAGAGTCCTACGGGGACGMRGGCCTTAGGCGAGACCTCACGAGGCACTCTCGCCTCCCTCGCGAAAATCCTCACAATCAAACATATATATGTATGTAAATCCCCTCTCAGCTCTTTCTGCAGTCTAGTACAGAAATGCTAGGTCTCCATCCTGACCCACCATAGTCTGGTTGATCGAGTCAGATCTACGGCCTACCTCATTGTTATCTTAGCGGCAGTCCCTTCGTTGGTTATGCAACGATAGGTTTTCTCCTGATAGGCATTCAATCWGGGCGCCCAAACGACTCGACCGTATCCCCCGCCATTCCACCATAGTAATTTCCTTGGGGCATGCATAACCTCTTAAACTCTCACTCTGCTGGTAGACGTGGGCCCGCCGCCAGGTTGTGCTGGCTTGCAGCCATCCGATAGGGGTTGCGCCCTAGGGGTGCTAGCCTTTACCRTCTAGCTTGGTATTCCTCATTATGCCTTAGGATTAGCACAGGTGTTTAGACGGTGTGTCGCAAAACAGACCGCAGGCCCACTGCGGGACTACGCAGGGGTCTGTCCTACTTTTCAGGGTATTTACCAGCCCCCTATGGGACAACATAGAGGGCACGGCCCCTTCTCACAATCACAGCCAATTTCTCACACGAGGCCGTGGCCTACTGACTTGATCAGAGACAGCAGACCACACATCCCACGACATCTTTATGCACTGACTTGCGACCTTCTCAGTTCCACCAATGATTCCAACTTGTAACCCTGGTTCCTCTCGTCAGACTTTATCATTCAAACATTGCTTACCATGTCCTTAAATCTATCACCCATTTTTCCCATGAAGGGGGTCTCTCTCAACARGTCTCCCAGCCACCCCTSTCTTTACAGGATGGACTATYACGTGACCTGGGTTACACYGCTGTCAATAAACAACACCCCCTCCTTCCATAATCCGAGGGGGTCTCAATTATAAAACAACTCAACTGAGGGGCCTTCTTATGGGTCGTCTCCCCAACTTAATTGCAAAACAACTCAAACCAAGGGGCCAACTTATGGGTCCCCTTTACGGCTCAGCCATAAACATTCGGCATGGTAATTATCCGAGCCTTATAGGCTCGCAAGACCCCTCAGGGTCCTCATACATCTGCCACAAAAACGACCGCGCTGCCTCCTCTTATACCCGGCCGTTCCACCCGCCCATGGGCAGGCCGCACGAGTATACTAACGAGTAGACGGCAATCACAATCACTCAATACACATACATGAGATGTATCCCACACATCTCTCACACAAAGCCCTCATTCATTGGGATAAAGCCACGCGTGTGAGAGTGGTCGTGATCGTCACAAGAATAAGTCCCACAGAGTCKGRAATCAAGATATACTCGGGAGCATAATATCTCCCTCAAGTCTCAATACGACACTCAACTCAAACCCTCAACACACAACTCGTAGGGTGTATTTGGGAACAAAATGCCTGCCCYGAAAAYGCTCAAATACTCACTCCAYTGTCTCACYCCGCAGGATAAACTCACGTCCCAAGTGTCATGGACTCTCAKAACCTACTCAAAGATACAAGTAAGAGTATCTKAATCACACAACTGAAAATGCAAGTCACGTATGTCGTAGATATCATACAGCTAAGTCTCATCCCCTAGATTGTATCACACATAAAGTTCAAACCGATCACACACCGCCACCTATGTATATACAACTAGACGGGACTCGCCCGACTAACTCAGAGTATGTACACCCCTATCACGGCCTCTGCATACAGAGGAGCTCTAATCCTACTGTCATATAGATGGGCCAGTCCCTACTCACTCATAGCCTCCTGGTTCTGTCTACATAATTGTGCCCTACCCCCATCTGGAGCCCGCTCTACCACTCGCCCCTGCCTGTCGTACATTCTCCCACCACTCTCTGTTACTCTCCCAGTCGCCTTGTCCTTAAGGAACTTCGGGCATTCAAGAGCTCTATGTAGGCCGTCCTTGCAGAAGAAGCACTGATCGTCTGATCTCCCTCGCACCTCCTCTTCTTCTTCTGGGACCTAGGCAACGGCGGTGTCTCGCTAGTTTCCCTGGTCATCTCATGGCTCTGGGGCATACTCCATGACTCTGTCGGCCCCGCCTCCGTCATCTGGGTACTCGGCCCTGCTAGCGCCTCACCTCCCTCGGGTCGGTACGCTGGAGTGTCCAATCTCAGTGGCCTACCCTCGCGGACTCCTCCCCTCGCAGCCGCCCCCTCGTCCCTATGGAGGTCGGAAGTCTAGGGAGTCACGGCAGTTGCTGGCTCACTCATAACTTCCTGCTGCTACTCTGAGATGTGCTCTCCTGAGTCAGCTCCAGTAGCCCAAGAGCCTAACTGCGTCCTCAGCTCCCCTATCTCTGGCACACGCTCTGGGGTCTTCTGTCTCTGAGGCTCTCCTGACGGCATGTCCAACTCCATATCTGCCACTATCTCATCCAGTCGAGACGCCTCTCCCCCCATTGCCTCCGGCTCCGTGGATGCTGCTGCTCCCGTAAGGGCACCCTCCTGCACCTCCAAAAGGATCGTAGGGGACTCCTCTGTGGGCCCCCCTTCCTCCACTGGAGGTTGGGGTCCCTGCGCCGGATCGCCGTCAGGGATCTCAATCGTCATAGGGGTGGCCTGCTGCAAGGCCAACTCCGTGGGCGTCCTGAAGTTGAACCTCCCCTCCTCGGCCTCCCGCCATGCTGCCGCCTCTATTGGGTCCAAAAATACCTTCCCCATACTTCCTTGCTGAGGTGGCTTTCTCGTCCCTTCCCGGCCAAAGAGCCCCTGTACCTCCTCCCCCTGGATACCATATCGGCTTTGCTCCGTCCAGTCTACCACCTTAGTGGCCGAGAGCCTCTCCACCATTGCCGCCATGTCCTAGAGCCTCTTTTCCCATTCCGCTTCCTTAACTTCCATACGGGACCTCCATGCTTGATTCTCTACCCTCTCTTCTGCCAGTTGGGTGGACAACTGTCCCACCTCTAACCTCGAGGCCGCCAACTCATCGATGAGCATGGAGTACCGTTGGAAGGACAAGACCACCACCTCACCTATCCTCCTATCTGCACTCTCAATCTCCATCCTAGCGGCTGAAAATCCCAAGTCCTCTGTCTCTCGTGCCTCGTCCAATCTTGCACTCCCCTGTCCTACCTCTCGCGACCTCAGGCGAGCCGCATCCCTCTTGCTCTTATAGCTGGCCCAAGCCTTACTAATCCGCTGCTCGCTCGTCGGAGGGTCGATTGGCGGCTTTGGCGTTTCTCCTGCGGCCTCCATCCTAAGCTTTTCCTRGTATAGCTCTTCGAGGCGCACCTGCACCCTCGCGCGCTTCTCTTCTTTCGCCTCCCCCAGTGGCTTCCCTGTCCTCGCCTCGTGACCCTCTCGCAGTGGATCTCTCTCACTTGTCCCCTCCTCTGGGGGTGGCGGCCCTGGCGGAGGCTCCCCGGGTGTCGGCGCCTCCACATCCATGCGTGCACCTGTAGACTCAGTTAGTTGCGGCGCCACAGTAGTAGGTGTCCTCGCCCTCTCGCCCCCCTCTGGCCCCGCCTGCGTCGGGGGTGGCGTAGTAGCTTCCGGTGGGGGCCCCAACATCTCCTCGYTGTCCGGTTCAGGAATTCCTTCAGGCCAATACTGTCGCGCCTGTTCTGGAATCGGGGTAGGAGGAGGGGTATCATCCCCAACAGTGATAACCCCCTCAGTCTGCGGCTCCTCGGGTTCGCGAGAMCCCGCCTCWGGCCCCGGCTCAGGTGGCTCCTCCTCTGGTTCATCCTCTACTGGCTCATACTGTGCCGGTCCGCTCTCGTCCGCTCCCAGCTGTGACGCCCCCCACTGGGACGYATCAAGATGAGCCTCCAACCTGTCGAGCGGCGTYCTCAASGGCACYGCCTCTCCYCCCTCTGGTAACATCGGCGACGGGCCCTGTAGATCACTGCCCRTGATTCGGCRAAACTCCACCTGCTCGAGTCCATAGGTAGGGGGTAGCTCCGCCGCCTGAGCTGGCCCCGCGGCYTGAACYGGCTCCACCGCCTGGGCGGCCTCTGCTGGCCCCTCTTGCTGTGCCAAGGCCTTTCGGCCCCCTCTGGTCGTAGTGGTCCCTCTCGCCTCTGGGCCCCGTGGCCTCTTACTCCTTTGTCGTCTCTCCACCCTGGGCTCTGGTCTCTCRGGCTCCAGTYGTCGAAATGCCTGTCTCAACTGGGCYTGGCAGTCCTCCCAGTCGTGTGCCCTGTCCCGGATCTGCCTCGCCAACGACCTCTCCGCCCTCCGTGTCCAGAGGTGCAGCATCTGCATCCACTCCTCCTGCCTAGTCCCGTGGTCGCGCATATACTGCTCATAGGCTGGGATAAACTCCTCCGCATTGCCTTCCTCCAATCGAATAGGCAATCCATCCGGTCCCATCGGCAAAGCCCTCAGCATCTGCATCCTCGCCTCCACATCCTGCCATGTCAACGCCTCCTCTCGAATGTGCGCAATAGGCTCCTCGAAGCGCCCAACTCCCCTCAGGTGTCGTATTCTCTCCAAGGTAGACCAGCCCTCCCATGTCGCATGTGCCTGGTAGGAGTCCAGAGAAAACTCTATGTTACCGTCGTCGAAGATAGGCGTAGACTCCCTCCCAACCGGTCTGCGAGAGTCATCCCCCCCTCATGCTCCCTAAGGCCTCTGTCGTGGCCGTGCGCCCCTCCCGCCCCTCTGCATGGTTGTCTTCGAAAAGTCAGACCTGCACAACAGGCGAGAGAAAGCAAGCAGGCACACAACAAGGTTAGCCCTCAGCTCATCAAGTTTTTATGACAATACACATGCCTTTTTCTACTCCCTCACCTGTCCTGACCATAACATGCGATATCTCAAGGACCAGTTTACTCTGAGAAAGGTAGAATTCTTTACCTATTCCCTGGCCACGATCTTCTTCAGCCTGGTCCCTGATACCCAATCCTGCCAGCCTGTCCCGTCCAGCTGCTCGATCTGATAGGCCCCAAATTCGCCGCATCGCAATATTCTATAGGGGCCCAACCATCTCTTGTCAAGCTTCCTCGACCATTGCTTTTCCAAAGAGGACTCGTATAATAATACGACATCCCCTACTGCCAATGGCTCCTTTCTTACTCGTGCCATCTGGTCCCACCTCATCTTATCTTCTATGCGACTCTTTTCCACCTGACCAGCGGCCTCTCGCAATCTTTCTTCGGCCGCCCCCACTTGCCGCGCCCGAATATCGAGCAGTTCTTCAAAAGACAGGTTCACCTCCAAGTCCTGGCGCCTCCACGTTTTCATAAAGCTTTCTATGGGAAAGGTGGCATGCCTTCCATACCATAGCGTGGCTGGCGCGTACTTGGTAGTCCTCTTTACAGTAACATTCTCCATGAAGAAAGCTGCCCGTAGGAACTTCGGCCTCTAACCAGGTTTGCCCTTTGTCCACTTAGCCAGGAGATTCGTGATGGTACTGTGCCCCCTCTCCACAGGAGCGTTCGCTTGAGGGTGTGCGGCCGTAGTATAGTTGGCCACTACGCCATACCCTGCAAGCAACGTCCTCACCTCATTGCAGGTAAACTCTGATCCTCGATCCATCACGAACTCCCTGACAAAAGAGTATCGCAGGTAATACTCCTCGATGCAGTTCGCCAAAACCGGACCAGTCTTCGTCCGGATAGCTCGTCCGTCCACAAACCCAGTAAGGCTATCTCGTGCATCGAAGATGTAGTTACACCCATTCTCCCCTGCTGGCATGAATAACAGGTCATCGTGTAGGGCCGCTATGATATCAATTTGTCGGTTTCTCCCACATACGATCCTCTTGGGGTTCCCGACCTTCCGCTTTATAAACAAATGGCCATCTCTTACCACGTGAGGTGCCTCATCTTCTGTGCTTTGGCACTCGCATCTCTATCCCTTATCTCGCATGATAGAAGCAGCCCCAATTCCCGGTAAATCCCATCATACTCCTCTGCCTGAAACGCCTCCTTAATCTCTCCCTTCTCGAATTCGTCATCCTGGCTTTCAGGAAATATGATTTCACCTTCCTCACGACTGAACGAGCTCTTCCGGTCGAAGTCTCCTTGTAGGAGCGTATTGGTGAGCAGGTACATCCCTCCCATTAGCTGCTCATGCTCCTCTACCTGAGTGGGGCCTTCCTCTATTGTCCTCACTTCCTCCACNTACCTGAGTGGGGCCTTCCTCTATTGTCCTCACTTCCTCCACCAGACTGTGCGTACCTGCCAACGCCAACTTCATCATCCAACCAACATCCTTACTTCCCCACGGATCCTCCTCCTAAAAGGGCTTGAGGACTAACTCTTCCCTCTGCTCGTACCCCTTTGGTGCCAACCATATGGGGTGACTGACGCAACTGGGCACTYGCAGGGACCATTCGTTTATGTGCAGGCGGACGTCCTCCTCTAGGTCCAAAAACCCATCAACTGGCGGCGTGTCTTCTATCGATTCCTCGTCCGATCCGTCCCAGTTGATGCGGCTTAACCCATCTGCCCTGTTCTTGTTCCCTGGGATCCTTTCCAGCTCGAAATTAAACATCCAAATGTAGGTCAACCATCTTGCGACGGTTGGGTCAGATGGAGTATAATTCTTAAGGGAACATGCCAGTGCAGTAGGGTCCACCCTCAAGATGAGCCTCCTGCCAAAAACATAGTTCCGGAAGGTCCTTCGGCAACGAAGTACTGCCAGCGTCTCCTTCTTGAACTGAGAGTAGTTCCTCTTAGTTGTATTGAGGGTACGACTTTCRAATCTTAGCGGTCTCTCCTTCCCCTCAGTATCTGCCTGAATCAGGACCCCTCCCAGRGCAGTTGGCCCAGTGTCCGTCTCAATGACGAATGGTCTTTCCTCCGTGGCCTCATAGTTTGGCGCTCCCAATACCAAGCCTCCTTCCTTAAACTCTCCCTTCATCCTACCGACCGCCTTTTCCTGGTCTTCGCCCCAGACCCATTCTTGATCCTGGCTCACCAACTTCCTTAAATGCTCCGTCTTCGTGGCAAAGTCCTTCACGAAGCTCCTCCAAAATCCGCACGTCCCAAGGAAGCTCCTTACATCTGTTATCGAGCGGAAGGGCACCGGCCACTCAAGAATCTTGTCTGTCTTCTTTACATCAGGCCTTCGCCCACTCTCATTACAGACAAAGCCTAGAATTGTGGCCTCCCTCATACAATGTTTCAACTTGGGGCCCCTCGCCGTCAGGTTATGTTCCTCCAATAACCCCAGAACCTGATCGATGTCTTGGACATGCTCCCAGACAAAGCACCGCACACCGGGCATCACTTCGTCTTCCTCCTTCTCCTTCGGACCTTTGACCGTCAGGTCATCGATATAGGGCTGAGTGATATGTGGGCTGACCGTCTGCATGGCTCTGATCATATGCCTTTGCACCATCGCCACTGCATTCGTCCAACCTAGAGGCGCCACGTTCATATGAATCAGCCCTCTGGAAGTGTGCATTGCTGTTACGGGCCTGTCTGGCGGGTATACGGGGAATTGGTCATACCCCGAGTAGAGGTCTATAAGCGAGATTATAGGCCTCCGTA